TTAACCATTTAATAGACTCTTGGGAAGATTTCACACTTCCTGTTCGATGGTGAAGAAAGGGGGTGGCAGATGCACCTACCGCACCCCCCCCCCCCAACATGACCCAAAGAGATGTCGCCTGAGGCAATTGTCTCAGGTTGCATCATTATACAGATGGCCCTGGCAACAACAGGTAGTGAAAGGAAATCCCTCTAAAGTGAGAGAAATCCCTAGTGGTCAGCAGGGTCACTTGAACTAGTGTCCCAATTGGAAGATTCCAGTGTTAACGAGCACCAGGACAAATAGAGAGGGCAACAGAGAGCAATAAAAACCTGACAGGTGTTCTAATCCCTGTCTACCCCAAAACTCCACTCAAATGTGCCACTTGGGGGGAAAAAACAAAACAAAACACATACTCAGTACATGTTTAGAATACATGCACATTTGCCCATGTTTTATCAAGGTTGCCAGTGTGTTTATTTCATCTCTCAACCAAACGTTCAAGCCTTCCAATAGCTGGTGTCATAGCTTATCACACGTGTAGCACCATGGCAGCTACAATATAAATAGAGGCTAAGATGGTTCCCTCATTGTCTGTAAGGGATAGGAGGCTGTAGTTTCATTCACATAATAAGTTAACTGGTAAGTGGATCTTCAGGACCCCCTAATAGTTCACTTAAGTGCAGTCTCAATGCTGAGGTCTCAAATTATGTGAACAATTGACGATAGACCAATGCAGTGTTCTGCCTCACTGTACTGACTCCAAGAACAGAAAGAGGGACAGAGCCATGCTTAAAGTGTATATACTGTATAACCAATATATTTTTTCTTAGTCTTGGATAAAATGTGGAGTGGTTAAAACCTCTGCTACCCACTGGGCAGATGTCACTTTACTACCTGCCCTGGTGTCTCAGCACGAAGTGAGAAGAAAGCTCTCCAAAGCATGGTGAAATTGTCCCTAACAGGTGTCCCAATGGAGCATATTTTCATGCTTCTAGTTTGGGCGGCAACTGTAAATATTGAATTTCACATCGCTTTTTTCCTGTAAACGGTTGGTGAATCATGGATACATACAGCAATAAAAACTTTATTCTTATCCAAACCAAAACCAAACAAAAAAGTTGTCAATAGAGTTTTAGGTACTCTTAAGAACACATGTAAGATGTCCATGAAATGTAATCATTGCGTGGAATTAATTTTTAACTTTCATTTTCCAGTTAACTACTCTGTCCTTAGTAGCTCTCCAGTCTCTTTAAGAAACTCAAATCTCAACTGCAGCAAACAAGTATGTTTTTATCATGACATAAATGTTTGTACTCCTGCACACAATCACTCTATAATACAGGGGTGGAAAAATGAAAATAGGATTCAGGAGCCAGTCTGGCTAATCCAGGAGCCAGCAGGATTTTTTTTTAAGTGCCAGTTCAATTAACAACAAATAGAGAAAAAAACTCAAAAGCTAGGCGCCAGCTGTAAATTTTAAGGATCATTGGCTACTTGGCTCCTGGAATTCATCCAGCCCTGCTATAAAACAAAAGGTGCCCATACACCTTAGGGTGCCCACACACCTTACGATAATTGTACGATAATCGCGGGAAATCCCGCGATCGTACGATTATCGTAAGGTATGTGGAAGCCGTGCAACCTCTACTACTGTAAGGTTGCACGACTTTTAACTTACGAACATGTTCGAAAACCCGCCGAGCATGGTACGATGTTCGACGGGTGTGTAGCATGTTCGTAAGATAAAAGCACACACTGCTCGTTCGTCACCGCGGTCATCGGAAGCCCGCCACTCAGGGGGGCGCAGCTTGCGATTATCGCAAGCACGATCTGCCTGTCCAAGATAGGCAGATCGTACGTTTTTTTAATGACCTTACAACCATCGCAAGACAAAAGTCTTGCGATGGTTGTAAGGTGTGTGCCCAGCATTACAACCATCGCAAGACCTTTGTCTTGCGATGGTTGTGAGGTAATTAAAAAAACATACAATCTGCCCATCTTGGACAGGCAGATTGTACTTACGATCATCGCAAGCCCGCCCCGCTGAGGGGCGGGCTTCCGATGACTGCAATGCTGAACTTGCAATGCTGAACTTGCCATGCAGCATTTGTCTTATGAGCAGGCCACAAACCCACCGACAATCGTACGATTCTCGGCGGGTTTTCGAGCCTGCTCATAAGACAAAAGACGTGCGACCGTACAGTTGAAACGGTCACACGCCTTCCACACACCTGCCGATTATCCTACAATCACGGGATTTCCGGAAAATAGTCTAATTTAACATCTTCTTTTATAATTGATAGATCCAAATATCCCTTAATGTAATTACTTGATCTGTTTCCCCTGGTCATGACTTTCAATCCTGGCACCGCATCATGGTATAACCTGTTACCCTTAATGATGTTGAATGTGGATGGGTCTCTTTGTAGTTGTGTTTAAGAATGCACTGAGTGAAAGCAGAACTGCAAAGCAATTACCACTAAAAAAAAAAAAGATTGCAAACATAAAATACAGTTCATCTCAGCTGTCCCCATTTGTTAGCTCACATTATTTTTTGAAACAATGAACCCACTAGCCATTAAATAATTTGTGCTGCCTTTGTACACTGTACCCAATTATCCTGTATGATAAACAGCAGCCAAGATCATGGCCAAATTTCAATTAATCAGCTAAATATTGTTTGCCATCCAGCCTGTGAGACAATTTTCCAGAATGTAAAAACCCAGTTAATTTATAATTACAAGTATCGAAGATCACTTACACCAGCAAAACATTTAAAAAAAATGTTTAGTTTAATGTATTTTACTTTATTCCGTCCACCTTCACATAGGTAAATGGAAGACTAGGAGCATGCAATCTGATTACAGAAGTGTAATGTCCAGCAGGTATGCGTTCCAATGCATCGCACGGTACTGCAATAGCATGTGTCATGCTGCCAAGAGGCTGGGAGCATACAATCTTTAATAGAAGCAAAGCCTTTTTGACAGACCCGGAGATAATGATCAGAGGGGCTGCATGACTGCGGAAGGAATAATCCCTGGAGAAGGGGTTAAATAAAATAGGAATCAGTTGATCTACCTGATTGGAGGTTGGAGTCAGGTGTCGGGGTGGAGCCGCATGGGATGGGACTGCAAGGGCTGATGGGTATTCTTACTGGAAAGTCAATAGAGGAAGCAGGTTGTCCCACTCGCCCCTAATTATTTGCAGTTGCAATGGTTGTTTATTTCTCTGCAGCTTGGCGGGTTAGGGGGGGTCTAGAAATGTGAGTTGGTTGCAAAATGGGGGGATCCAGCTGGTGCTGTCCCCCTGTTGATGTCAGTAGTTGTCAGGGGCCCAGCCCCTTGGAACTTGGGAAACAGTAAGTTTCCTCAAGCTGGTGGGGGTGTGGCTGGGGACATGGGAGCGGTTTTAGTAGAGGCCTTATTTTGGCTGATGGGCACCCAAAGACCCCTTCTCGGATCCAACAGTCATTCAGATTATTTATTTGTATGTTATTTTGGTTACTATGTTTGGTAACTGTTTATTTTTGGTATGGTTAATAAAGGGCTGCTGTTGTCGGGATCCGCTTCAGCTGCGGCGTCTCAGTATACCGTGAGCCACAGCTCGCGGTATACTGAGCCTAGGGTGACGGGAGGACTCTAGTTTGTGTCCTCCCGTTACCCTAAGGAGAACTATGGGAAAAAGACTTAACCCCATAGTTCTCCTTTAAATCCATGTCGCGTAGTTCGTATGTTCATTGCAGTTTCTAACAGAGGGACGTAATTCACGAATACATCAGTCAAGCTGTTGTGTGATTTAAAAAAAGTAACGTATGCACTTTTTAGCACCGCATGTCACATGTAATGTACTTTTTATCACTGCATGCCAACGCACGTGGTACCACTTGTTGCCAACACACGTAGTACCATGCATTGCACAGCACTACAATGCATGCCTGCTGAGAGGTGCGTTGGGGTATCATAAAGGATAACTGTCAGCACAACAGACAAGTGTACCGTGCACTGTGCACTAGCATGCTTAGCACAACACTATGGTGGGAACAGACCCTTAGAGTGAGCTGCCAACATACAGAACCTCATTGAAAAGGCAGCACATGTTAAAGCGACACTAAACTCAGGAGGTAAATCTTAAAAATGCATTAAAGTACCCTATTCGCAAAACTGAACCTTTTTTGTGCATCACCTCAAATCATCTCTGAGTTAGTGCCGACACTGTCCTTCCTTCTGCAGGGTGACTACTTTTGTTCCCCATGGTCCCTGTGTGTGTTGTAGAGTAGCCACCACTCCAAGCTCACTCCCGTGATGGACTACAATCTCAATACAAATTTGTAAACTATACTGTATGTGAGATTGCAGTCCATACGGAAGCAAGCTTGGAGTGGTGGCTACTTTACAACACACAAAGGGACCATGGGGAACAAAAGTAGCCACCCTCCAGAAGGAAGGACAGTGTCAGCATGAATTCAGAGATGATTTGAGGATCTACAGCTGATAAACTCAGTATCTTGCTAGTCGGCCCCGCTGGCTCTCAAAATACCTGAACAATCTGATTGGATGCAGGCATTGTTCAGGTATTTTGATACTAAAGCTTATACTGATACTGATTCCTCCATCCACACAGTTTAGTGTAGATGGAGGAATCTGTTGCACTTTTACCATCTGACCATAGCAAATCTGCAGATAATCTATAGGTGTATGGCCAGCTTAAGATACATTTTTGTTAATAGTTAAGGTACTTGAACGCATTTTTAACGCCTGTGTTTAGTGCTGTACTGAAAAAGAGTGAAACAAGATGTAACTAAAAGGAAGAAGAGCTAGCAATCTTACCAAATACAATTCCAAGAGCTAGCAATCTTACCAAATACAAATCCTTTAGTGAAAGATGAATTGACAATACACACTTCTCAGTAAAGTAACATTCACATCCGATACAAATGATAGTACAAAGGTAACAGTTATAAAGTTGCACTGGCAGCGCTGCAGCCTGGTAGAAGTGGCAGCAGAGCAGCGCAGTCTTACCTTGAAGTACGCCCTCTGCAGGAAGTTGTAGGGAATTCTGCGATGGAACTCACTCTTGATGTCCTCACTGACTCTGTGCCTGGACAGTGCTCCCAGGCTCCCCTCTTCACATTGCTTTACGCAGGCTGACCTGGACAACATGACACTGGCAAAGTCGAAATCCCAGTCCCTGGGTGTCAGCGCTAAAGGGTACCTCTGCTTACAACCCAACCTGCAGCTGATCTTGGTCTGCCTAAGCTGGGAGAAGCTGCTCAGAGCCATTTCTATGTAATGAATCACCTTTTGGTAATCATTTCTGTAATATGCTTCTATTCCATTTTCATACAGCAGATCATAGGGTTCCAGACTGTGGACAGAGGAGTGCAGGAAAAACAGCAAAAATGGTGTGTACAGCTCCGTGAACAGCATGTCTGGTGTGATCCCACTCCTAGGATGGCTAGATCCCTTTAAAAGGGGGTTTGTGCTTCTCCGGTAAGCAGCATGTGCAGCTCACAATGACTCACACTCTGAAAAGAGCAGCCGGCTGTTCATAAAGTGACACACACTGCTTTAGGAGGAGCCCAGAGGAGCAGCAGCAATTCAGTCCTCCAGTAGTACCACAGCAAGCTTTCCTTCCACAGACTCTGAACGATTGCCAAGAAGGAGCGATGCTTTTTATACTTGTGCGCTTGCTGCTAAGTCGTGTTTTCCTGTGTTGGTTCAGCATTTTGGTGTTTGTGTGTTTTACAGTGTTTATATCAACAACAGTGATGATCAGTCTGTGTACTTGTAAAGAGTAGGTGGTCACATTCTCAAGAGTAGATGTCTGGAATCTGGTTTCTATGCCCCCCTCCCTCCTTTACTATTGTGCAGTAACAACAGAGTGCCTGTGTGTTTTCTGTGTGTCGTTTATATGACAGCCGATTAGTCTCAATGGACTGCTGAAGGAATGACAATTGCTCCAAACAAGTACCTGCACCTTTTATTCAAAATGGGCCATACCAAAACATAGTGAGGGCAATTTATCAAAGCTGGAGCATACAGAATCTGGAGCAGTTGCCCATGGCAACCTATCAGCTTCTCTCTTTCATTTTAAAATTTTAACTGAACAAACTTAAAGTGACATTAAAGCCAAAAAAAATTTCCCCTCCATGTAAATGTTAGCACTTACCTCAAATGATGTCTCTACAGGTGCCCATACACTGCACGATTATCGTACGATAATCGTATGCGATCGGGTTTTCGTACGATAATCGAGCAGTGTGAACGGAGACGTGCGACCGTTTCTACTGTACGGTCGCACGTCTTCTGTCGAACCAGCATGTTCGAAAACCAGCCGGGAATCGTACGATTCTCGGCTGGTTAGAACGGTGCTCGGAAGATAAATGCTGAACGGGCCGGTGTGCGCACGCGCACACTGCCCGTTCAGCATTGCGGTCATCGGAAGCCCGCCCCTCAGGAGGGCGGGCTTGCGATGATCGAGAGTGCGATCTGCCTGTCCAAGATAGGCAGATCGTACGTTTTTTTAATCCCTTTACAACCATCGCAAGACTAAAGTCTTGCGATGGTTGTAGAGTGTATGGCTTATATCTACTGCTTGCTTGCTAGCAGTAGATATAGGCAAAAAAAACGGAGGGTTTAGAACCCCTTTAAAGTATAATTATACCCTCTGTTTTGTTTTTGTTTTTTATATATCTACTGCTAGCAAGCAGTCGAGATATGCAAAAAGTTTTTTGTTTTTTTTTAAAAAGCGGTTTAAACTTACCTGTGTCTTCGCCGCGCGCTACCGTCCGAAAATCTAAAAGATCTCGGGCGGCCGTAAAGCATCCTGGGGCGGGCCCATGCGCAATTCAGATTGTCGGCCGGGAGAAGAGCAGAGACACAAGGTAAGTCTATGGACGCCTGCACCCGCATGCAGACACCGTGGGACAGGAAGTGCCAGCAAGCCCAGAGGAGTCAGCGCTGGATCAGAGACCCGCAGCAGCGCTGGAGAGAAGGCTGAAAAGGACAGGAAAGAAGAAGAAGATCGGATTAAGAGACATCATTTAAGGTAAGTGCTTACACTAACATTGGGGGGAGGGAAAAAAAACGTATCCTTTAATGTCATTTTAAGATAGAAGCTGATGGGGGGTTATCAAACCTGGAGCAGACAGAATCTGGAGCGATCACCCATAGTAACTAATCGGTTTCTCTTTTCAGTTTGTTTAGTTAAAGGAGAACAGCGGCAAAAAAATGTTTCTTAACCCCTGCAGTTGGGCTACTGCTATACTGCAAGGGTTAAGTGCTCGTTTTCATCTAGGTGCAGAAATAAAAAAGTTATACTCAGCTGAACCCCGGAGCTGGCGGGCTGTTAGACCAGTCCTTCCAGCCTCTCTCTCTCTCCACTGCAGTGTTCTAAGGTCGCTGAGTCCGGTCCAATACAAGTGAGGGAATTGATCAAAACTGGAACAGACAGAATTTGCAGCAGTTGCCCGTGGCAAGCAATCAGCTTTATTTTATTGTCAAGGCTTAACTGGACCGTAGAGAGAATCTGATTTGTTGCCATGGGCAACTGCTCCTGATTCTGTCCACTCCAGTTTTGATAAATTCCCCCCACTGTGTATTGGATGTGAGGACGCAGAGGGATGTACCTTTGCCGGAGGGAGGACAGAGACAGGCTGGTTGGAGTGCTCTAACAGCCAGCCGGCTGCAAAGTTCGGGTGATTATAAAGTAGGGTACACATGGTACGGACAGGTACAGGCCAAAATTCGCACAGTGGGTGCCCCTGTTGTCACTCTTCTGCCTGGTATCCCTCGCTCAATTCTTTCATTTTAAAAAGAAACCCTCAGGGCTCATTCACACAAGAAGCAGTGACTGGCGTTTTTCAGCAACTGATCAACGCCAGTCAGTGTGAGGACATGAAAAACAATGTTTCTCTATGTGCCTTGTTCATACCATAATGCTGGTGTGATGAGTGATCTGGACCAATGTAAGCACTCTGCAAATGTATGCAGTGCACTGAATGGCACTGGAGGTCACCACAGCGCAGTACACCCCTCTGTTGTGTGGAGACCTCTGAATTAATTCATAATTGTCAGGATCCGCTTCAGCTGCGGCGTCTCAGTATACCGCAAGCGGCAGCTTGCGGTATACTGCAGTGTCTCAGTATGTGGCAAGCTGTAGCTCGCCGTATACTGAGCTTAGGGTGACGGGAGGACGCTAGTTTGTGTCCTCTCGTTACCCTAAGGAGAACTATGGGGAAAAGCCTTAACCCCATAGTTCTCCTTTTAACTATCAACAAAAATACATCTTATTCGTGTATCACTCGGCTGTAGATCCTCAAATCATCTTTGAATTTATGCTGACACTGTCCTATCTTCTGTAGGGTGGCTACTTTTGTTCCTCATGGTCCCTGTGTGTGCTTTAAAGTAGACACCACTCAAAGCTCACTCCTGTGATGGACCACAGCTTCACATTTAGTTTACTAATTTGTATTGAGATGATTGTAGTCCATCACAGGAGTGAGCTTGGAGCGGTGACTACTTTACAACACACACAGGGACCATGGGGAACAAAAGTAGCCACCCTCCAGACGGAAGGACAGTGTCAGCATGAATTCAGAGATGGTTTGAGGATCTACAGTTGAGTGATACACAAATAAGATACACTTTTGTTAACAGTAAAGGTACTTAAATGCATTTTTAACTCCTAGTTTAGTGTCCCTTTTAAAGCAGACTTTACCCGTATCTTTAAAATAACAACAAACACATCTTTATAAATGTTTAGTAATGACATTCTACAAACACATACTTCTAGATAATTGCAGGCTTTGTATTCTTTGCATACCTTATTTTTCTCTCAATCCCCAGTCTTCTGACAGTGGCCATGTTTACTAAGGGCAGATTACTAGCTCTCCTTTTACTTCCTGGACTTCTGGCACATGGGATTAGAAATTTGACTAGGACATGTGATCATGCACATCATCTCAGGGGAGGGAAAGGCCTCTCCCTGAGATCTCCTGAGATTTCCCAGCAATACTCTGCTGATGACAAGGCAATTCCAGTGTGCATTGATTTGGCAAACTGAAGTGTTTTGCCCTTTCAAAGCAGGAAGTGAATGTTCTGCAAGTGTAAGTATTTCATAATCACAGCATTTTACACCGGACATGTCTATGTTATTATTAATCATCATACATGCAAACATATTTTCGGTTGTGAAATTTTCATTTCGGCGCACCTCTAGTTTTAACCCCTCCTATTCGACTTAGGCTCTACTTTTGGATAGAATATCTCCAAGAGAAAAAAAAATCCCTTTGCAGTAGGGCTACCCCCACACTGCATGGGTTAACTGCTCTTATATGCCTACAGGACCTGTGTAAAGGATGTTAACTTACCTAATCCTTGCTCCCGTATGCTCTGTGACTAGCACCACAGTTTTTCCCCCCTCTATGCTTTCACGGTTTGAGGCCCACTGAGGTCACCATGTACCATACATGAGTATGCCAAGGGGCAATCCACAAGCCGGAGTGAAGGAGGGATGAGGTGAGTGCCAACTGCCAGGTGAGTGGGGACCAGTTAAGTACAAGTTCTTTACACAGCTACCCTAGACATAAATGGGTAGCCCGGCTGCAAAGGACGTTTTTTTAATTCACCTGGAGGTAGGCAAACATACAAGGCAAACAAACGTGCATTCTATATGTCCTGTTCATATTAACACACTGCGTTGGTGTACAATGTGATAAAATGATGCAGGCTGCAGCGCGCTTTGTGTAATCTATATCTCAAAGTATAAAAACCGCAAGGGTCTGTTTAAAAACTATTTGTAAGGCTGTTTGCCCTACAAATATCTGTGAGCATTTGTTCGGTGTGAATATATGTCAAAATGAACATTCTTTCCAAGTGAATGTATTTTTTAATGTATTTTTACGTAATACAGCATTATAACCACTAGATCATGCTGAGGAACATAGAAGATGAATACTCATTTCCTATGCCCCTTTAGCTCCATCTAGTGGCCATAACGCAATATCACATGAAACATAAAAAAATGCATTCCACCTGGAAAGACAAAACCTAAAGAACATTTGTTTTGGCATAGATTCATACAGAGTGAACTTTCACAGATATCCACAGGGTGAATAGCCCTGCAAATTGTTTTAAATAGTCCCCTTTAAGTTTAAATATTGCATGAATATAATATGTATAGTATAGTATAGTCCACACTGTAGTCCACACATTGTATAAACTGTGAAATATTAGTAAAAAAGGAATCTTATTTACAGCCAAAGAACTAACAAAACAGCTGTATAATAGCATACTTTGTGTATGAAAACCAAACTTTTGCACATTTAGGATAGAACTCCAGTCATAACTCTATGTCTAGTTTTCGAGTGGGAAACCTCTGTCAATGTTCTTATGTTGTGTTTGTCCCAGTTGGGAAGATATAACCCCAGTATTTGGATCTGGGGACTGATAGAGAGAGTGAGAAAAAAACCCATAATGTATTATCTGTCAGCAGAGTAGGAGTAGAGGAAAAATTTTCAAAAGCAACAGAGATGTAATTTCCACTTCCTGTTGT